GAATCAGAGACTTCCTCCCCGGATATTTCTTTCTTTGAAAACATGTTTGTGACATCATGCCATGTGGTGATATGGTAATCGTGTGGAGTAATTAACAGTCTCCGGCACTGTACCGGAGTGATAGGCGCTTTACAAAGCATGCAATGTGTAGGAATATGTAGAGTTAGGTGGTGAATAGAGTTGGATAATTATGCAAATTTCTGTCATAAATTATGCATATTTCTTTCATAAATTTTGAGATTTAATGTTAAAGATTTACAGCAGCTGATCACAGATTTCAAGTGTATATGGGATCAATTCTCAGATAAGGTTAAAATCGAATTTCCTTTGTGTATGTGAAGTATAAATAGCCAGTTTACTGGTACTGGCATGCTTTTATATTGCTATACATAGATTTTTACAATATAAACACAAATCTTTAAACGACGCAATGGTTTGATAAACAAAGTCTAACAGTTTGTGTAGTAATTGTAGAGGATGCATTTTTGTTTTGGGCTGGATAAAGTGAATTAGGAAAGCATCTCTATGTAACAAAACAAATATTAAAATTTCATAACTATATGTCTAAATGGAGAGGAAGTAGAAGAAGTTCTGAAATATTTGATAATTTTATTTGCTGAAATGTCCAAGTATGACAGACTTGAATTAAATAATGATTACAGTTATATTTTTAGTTAAAACATTGGGGAAGGGTTGTCTTTCTGCCTCTTGTTTGCGGACATGTCATGATTAGGGCTTCCTCTTGATCAGGGTTTCTTGTGCATGGTTTGTTGGGAGATTAAGTGACCTCTGTTTAGAGCTTATTACTCATCTAATGCAGATCCCTATATAGGCCTGTCTTCGTCAGCTCGAGATTGCCAAATATCCCGCTATTTGAACTATCCCGATCGCAAATTATCCAGTTACTTTGCGTCTTCATCAGCCTGAAGTTGCAATTAGCGGGATATTTTGTCGAGATAATCATCCCAAAATATATTGGGCTAGTTAGCAAAATATCCCGTTATTTATCCGATGCGTCTTCGCCAGCGCGAAGACTCGCACTATGCACGAACGCTGAGCAAAATATCTTGAGCTAATTTCTCAAGGTTGGGTTTCAAGTTTCGAGGTTGAATCTCGGGCTGATGGAGACGCGATTTGTAACTTCAGGATTATTTCCGAAATCAGAAATAGCGGGCTATTTGGCAATCTCGAGCTGATGAAGACAGGCCTTATGAGTAGCATTCAAATATGAACTTGGTGGTTTGTAAGCCCGGATTATCTAGGCATGGACAGTTCATGTTAAAGACCACTCTCTTGAGTACTACAAGAGAGGTTCAGTTTTAGATGTGATCAAGTTTCAAGTTTATTTGTTTCACATTTCACAAAACAGAATTCACATAAATGACAAAATATAAAAATACCAAAGTATGACATTATCTAATCAAGTCTTTGTGAATACATCAAAAATTGATTGTTTTAAATGGTAGGTAGTACAGGGTGAAATGTGAGGAGCATATTAAAAAGCTTAGCTTGTAGATTATAGGTTCCCCTATGATGTTGAGGTTGTGGTTTGAAAAGTTTAAGCGGTTTAATATGAACTTAATTGATCACGGTTACATTTCATGGGTTCAGCGCGTTCATTTGCTGTGTAAATTGTTTGATTGATATAATTTACTTTACATGTATCGCAATGTCATACTTAGGTTTATGTATTATGCCATGATCATTCCTCTTCCCACTTCCATTGTAGGAAGAATATTCAATTTTTGGCGATTTGTATTGGAACCAAGAGCTCAGTTGTAGTAAATAATCAATGTCGATAATGAGATTTTTTTGATTTTTTTTATTTGTGTGGATAATGAGATTATTAACTGATTCTTAACAGATTGTATCATTACATTTCAAATAAAAATAGTGTAAGGAACATTTGTTAAGTATACTTTAAACATACAGCCCTCATAGACTGTTTGCAATCAACAATCGTTCTAATGACTTCTTTAAAACTGTATGATTTGATGATGAATTTAGCATGGTCAAAAGGATTTGTTCAATACTCAGGGGTCTTTAAGAATGAAAGGGTTACAAGTACTTATTGATCGCTTCCAATGTTCTCTATTTAAAGCACTGATTTATGATTCACTGTGCTGTGTTTCCTGTTCCAAGGGGTTTCCAGAACTTTGTCTTTCCAGAAGTTGTTCAGGAAAGGGCTTATGTTAAACCCTTCAAACATGGCCACAGGATGTCAAATTAAATCCTGCAAAGCTCGAATATTTTATTTCTCAGAAATCTTTAAGTTCATTCTGTCTGCCTGTCACAGTTACTGCCATTGCAAGTGACCTATATGATGCACTTTTTTGTATGTGTAAAAGAAAAATCTAACAATATTTTTGATTGCATGATATGTCCCTATATGGGGAGGGGGGCTATCAAAAACCTTTCAATGTGCTTTTTATAAACCATCTCTATATTCGAAAATATTTAGAAATGCAAGTTTATGAAGGGCTAGATAATTATTAGATAAGACTTTACTATTTATTTTTAATTTTATAACAAATGAAAACCTTTTGATGATTCATTGATTGATTGGTTGCTTTTATCCAATTTAATGCTAAAAATAACAAAGCATAATACATTTTACAAGATATTGACATTCCTTGATATTATTCATGTATTGATTATAAATAATTCTGAATCATAGTAATTCATGACATGAAAGAATGTTCTATAAATCATGAAATATGGAACGGAAAAGTGAGCCTACTTAAAAACTATATAAGTGATATACTGGTACTGTAAAAGTTATCCAATCTGTTAAAGGTACTATGTCCCTTTTGCAGCCAACCTCAAATTTTGTCGAACTTTGCAGGAATTATGAATATGTCATGTATGTCCTATCTGTGAAATTTAAATGTTAGCAGTGTCCTCATATTCAAATTATGCAAGGAAACCTGTTTACTTGCTAGACTTCACTGTCAGACACTATTGAGTGACTGACTGGCTTTTTTTTCTTCTTTGGTAATAACATACATGAAAAGAGTTGTAAAGGGTACATGAGCATTTGTCTACATCAATAACCCACTTCTTGTGATGGCCAAGATTAAACTGATTGAATCTTTGCGCAGCATAAAACGTATGACCATTCGGTACAATTGTCTGAAAATAAAGACTATTACTTTTGGGCTCTATAGCCCTAAAGTCGATTTGACAACTAATAGTCGTTATTTTCCCACTTGAAGACATTTTCAAGCCCCACCTTTTTTAGGGAAGTTCTAAATTAGTATTATCTTTCAAATGCAGTTGGAATTTAACTTTTTCATTTTTTTGGCCTGCAAATGGGACATAGTACCTTTAATGTGAAACAGTCAAATTTGTATAAATACCCAAGGTGCCATGTTTTAAAATGGTGTTTCCTTCCAAGTTCCAAAAGAGGTGTCTAAACTAAATTCTTGATAATTAAATTTATTTCAAGGGGGATGCGCTAGGCAATGTTCTATCATAATTGATTGGTTTTTTGTTCAATCATAGTTAATTGTCTTTTTCTTGTGGCAAAATTGACACAGAGACAGACAGCTAGATTTAATTGGCATGTCCTCATAATATAATTATAATGAAACAAGAAAAAATAGACATCAAATATGCCTTATTTTAAAAAGGTGATACCTTCTAAAGTAGGTGTCTTAACTAAATTCATAATATTTTAAGGGGAGGAGCTAGGTAATGTTGTATCATAGTTAATTGTCTTATTCTGGTGGCAAAATTGACACAGAGACAGACAGCTAGATTTAATTGGCATGTCCTCATAATATAGTTATGACCTACAAAGAAAGACCTGTTTGGTCTTTTTATAAATATCAAAGGTGCCTTATTTTAAAAAGGTGATTCCTTCTAAAGGAGGTGTCTTAACTAAATTCTTGATAATTTTAAATGGTTGTAAGGGGATGAGCAACACAATGTTGTATCATAGTTAATTGTCTTTTCTGGTGGCAAAATTGACACAGAGACAGACAGCTAGATTTAATTGGCATGTCCTCATAATATAATTATGACCAACAACAAAAAAGACCTGTTTGGTCCTCCTGGAACTTGGAGGGTGTGAATCACTTAGGGTTGAGGCACCCTGTCATACATGCAGGAAACACTTAGGGATTCCTTGATCAATGTCTAGGCTTGACTGAACCCCCTGGGTAGAGGATGCATGACGGCACCCTTCCCTTATTACTCACTGGTCAAAAGCCGCCTGCCTGACTCAGTGCCTACTGCCTACCCGCCCTGCTCGTCTGACTCAAATTTTATTTTATTTTAATTCTGCATTTTTCCAAATATAATATAACTGAATGACAAAGAACATATGAATGTAAGGTATAATACAACATATTATATACAACAATAATTTCTTCATGTTAACATTTTTTTTACATAATATATATGCATATAATAAGGAAACTTAATATTTCTATAACATATTATCATAAATTTAAAGTATTATCCGAACTATCTGTGGAAAAAGTGCGGGAAACTGCAATCATAAGCGATGCTTGACAAGGATGGCGGCCTCAAAAATAAAAAAAAATAAAAGTGAAAAAGTGTTGGAAGGCTCTCATCGTAACTTGAACATGCTTGAAGAAGATATGAATATGTTATACTTCAATAGACAAACATATTCAAATTGTATGCATACTTTTTAAATAAAGGTTATTTTTGACAACCTGGAAGCTTTCCCAAGGCTTGTCTGACATAGCAACAAGCAATATGTATGCAGACTGGATTCTGAGTATTGGACACAGAAGTCCCTTCCCGTTTCAAACTGATACCAAATTAAAATAAATTATGAACCTTAATCTGGAAAGAACATACAGGAATATTATTATATGAAATGCCGGGCACCTTGATGCATAATTTAATCAATTTCATGTCAAATTGTTAACAATATTTCAAAGACCTTGTTTGACTTGAATCCATCTGATTGTTATGTAATATGTAGTTCATTTCAACATTTTGTTTCTCTGTTTCATTTTAAACAGAATGTGTGGAGGAGCTTTCATCATTCATGGAAGGTGCTGCTAATGAGACTCAAGAGGTTGAACATGGTGAACATTCTAACAGACTTTCGCTGTCTATGATTTCCTCTCTTGCAAGTTACATCTGAATAAAAATGCACAAAAATCCTATTTATTTAGACCATGCTAAAACCAACAAATAGGCCATTTTTGTACTGTGACCAAATTTATGCATACATACCCATATGCCTTTGTGAAGCATCTAAGTTGATGTGAATTATTTCACTCACCTGCAATTTGCAATCAGACTATTGAAATACAATTATTTGTAACAGATGAATTAACTAATTTGCATTGAAGCACTAAAGTATAAATTTGGTTACATCACGAAAATTGCCTATTGTTGCTGGATCATAATGGATTGGTTAGACCTCAACAATAATGATAATGATCAGCTATATGCAAATATGATGATAATGATAATGAACTTTTAAATCGTTGAGTTTTTTTTTATCAGGCTAGTTGGACATTGTTCACACGAAATGGCTCACAGATATTATCATTGAGGTCCATCACTTTGTGAGTGATTTTAGGGAGACGGTAACATCGTCGAACGAAGCTTATCAGTATAAATTCTCACCTACAACGATTTCCAAAGCATTTATGCTAGGCCGGGGGAGCAATTTAGGTATAGTTTATTATTATCATTATTCTTTTAGTTGAGGTCTAACCAGCTATTAATTCCTCATGTCTTATCAACAAGGAAGAGGCTGTGTTTTTTAATCAAGTCCAAATCCATCTATAACGTTCAAGAGGCAGATATATGTAATACCTCATTCACTTCTTGATTGTGCAAAATAAAGTCGCTTTGTGCTTGAAAACTGTTATACTGGATTAAATTATTTAGCCATGATAATATCATCAATGGAATTCAAGGAACAATCTTTTACCAAGGCCATGTTTTATGCAAACTTATTTTCACTAGCAAATTACAATAACTGATGCAAGCTACTGAAATTATTGAATTTGGCTTTGTTTGAAAGACCATCTTTTGAATTATGAAACAAGTTTTATGAAAGTGAGCCATCAGATACCTATACAACACAAGTATCAAAGTGTATCGAAGTCATCCAGCTAATGTCACAGTAAAAACATATATATTCTGTATTAATACAGGATTTAAAAGTCACTTTTCTGGGTCATTTTCAGTGAAAGAGGTTCTGTGTGCTAAACAGGAGCTCCATCTTTAACAAAAACTGGATTTAAAAAGAATACTTTGTAGAAAGTATAGATCTAACAAAAGAAATATGCAACATTTATTGTGGAATAGTCATTACAGAAGTTAAGTTAAGACTTCATAATTTATTAACTGTATACGTGTACATTGAATATACTAGTCAGTTGCATTTGATTTTGTTAATGAAATATTTAAGTTAGACAGGGAGCTACATCACAAGGGCCAATGGCTGCACAAATGTCTTGTATTTTATGAAACATCAGTGATACATATCATATCTGTGTTGCTGTTGTATTCATGTATTCATGGGCAAGCAAAAACAAACATGTGTACTCACTCAGTTTATCAAGCAAAGGTTCTCAATTGAGATTTTTAGTCAATTCAAATTAGAGGTAATTGCTACTATGATCGTGGCCAGACAAGCAAATTGAGAATATATATTTAGCACCCTGATGATAATACCAACCATGGTGGTTGATTGATGATTCATTTCATGCGCAGTTTAAATTGTTGGAATAATAAACATTCGTTGTATTTGACTTTTATATCCGTTTTGTGCACCTTTTTATTTTCCTTGTGGTTTGGGTTAACGTTCAACAAAGTGCATTGATGAGCCACTTCATTACACAGTAAGGGGGAGAGAGAATAAACAGGAAGAGTGAGCATGATAGATGGAAAGTGGTCTTTATAGGCAGGTGGTCTTTATGTACAGGTTCCTTAAGTTAATGTTTCAATGAGAAATTGTTTTCAAAGGAAACCAAAAAAAGTGGTCTTTGAAGACAGCTGGTCTTTCTATACAGCCGGTCACTAAAGCAGATTTGACTGTAGTATAATTGATAGGCACTGATAGTGTGATAGATACAGTCCAACCTGTCTTAGTGGCCACCTCTCTCTAAAGACCACCTGGCTATTATGTCTCCCTTGTCTCCCTTGAGAAAGAAACATGTGTATTAGAACCTGTGTAGAAAGGCCACCTCTCTACAGTGGCCACTTTTTCCTGTTTTCCTTGAGTGGCCCTTATAGACAGGTTTGGCTGTAGCACCGGGTAAGTCAGTATAACAGATATATAGTAAAACCGTGTGATAGATCTATGGCAAGGGGAATTTATGAAAGATAGACGGAAAGAGAGAGTGCATATCATGGATAGAGAGCAAGAGAGAGTTTGATAGACAGATAGTAAGGAAAAGTGTAGTGGAAAAAAGCAAGAAAGAGTTTGATGGACAGATAGTAAGAGAAAGTATAATGGAAAAATAGCAAGAAAGAGTATGATGGACAGATAGTAAGAGAAAGTATGATGGAAAAATAGCAAGAAAGAGTATGATGGACAGATAGTAAGAGAAAGTATGATGGAAAAATAGCCAGAAAGAGTATGATGGACAGATAGTAAGAGAAAGTATAATGGAAATATAGCAAGAAAGAGTTTGATGGACAGATAGTAAGAGAAAGTGTAATGGAAATATAGCAATAAATAGTGTGACAGACAGCAATTATATATGATAGATAAGAGTATAATTAAATAGACTGCAAGAAAGAGTACCGTATTCAGATGGCAACATAGCGAGAGAGACAGACAGAGATTGAGCTGAAATAGTGATGAGGGTCATAAATAACAGTTTACCATGGCAACCATCAGATGTTCGTCAATGGAACATAATGAAGCAGAGAAAACTGTTTATGAAAAGGCTTTGTGTTCTGATGGTCATTCCTCCCACACATTAACCATGGCTTCAGAGTATTAAAGAGAAGGTTGAGTTCTAGGAAGAGGTGAAAAATAATTTGTGAGCGTTATCATTGCTATTATGCAAGTGTGGAAGAACATCAGATAAAAAACGTGCCTTAAAAAGCATGGCTCTTCAAATGCCTTCATATTCTAAATATGTAACATTATGAAAATCGGGACAGATTTTTATGCCACATGTTTGTGAAGTCCCATATACATCTTTCTGTGTACAGTGCTTGTAACTTTACCAAGACTGGGCCAAATTTCTTATCATTTTGATTTTGATGATTCCAGAACCTTGCAGTACACACCAATACTTATATGCTAGATGATCAACCTTTTCTGATCAATCGCACAACGTTTCTTTCACAATGCAATCGCATGACCAGAACTGAACTTTATCTTTAAGTACCTGTATCTGTAATTTGTGTGTTGAGAGCAAAGTGGCCTTAAGTGGGTGTTATAGTTAACTTATCGGTAAAGTGTAGGAGTAAACTCTCTTCTGGCTCTCAAAAGACCATAAATTGCCTGTTGTGGGAACCAGAAGGGCGTTAACTCGATGTTATTGGTTAACTCATTGACTTCTGAGCTCTCCAATTCCCATAGGCTTAATACAGGGCCCACCAGGTTCCTGGATGCAATGGGTTAATGTCTTTTTGGCTCTCAACCTCAACAGCCCATACATGATACAGTGTATGTGCAGGGATATACCTCGCGGACTGGTCAACACATTAGCTCGTCGTGATGGCTCTTTAAGAGGCCTTGGGAACATCCGCTGATCATTTTCAGACACGTGGACAATGCCCATCATTTCCTGTCCGTCGCGACTCCTACTTACTGACCGGACATTAATAACTGGACATGATTAACCAGACATTATTAACCTTCGGCTTCCCTCGCATGATGAATACTATTAACTTTGGGATTAAGTCTGTCCAGAAATAGCCCAGATGATAACATGGCTCATTAGCCACCAGCCGATCATCGTTTTTTCCTACTTCAGTAAAATTATGGTTGTGCTGAGGCACCTTTGCAAATGCTATGGTGCATCATCCCTAGTTGTGGCTTTTGAAGAAAAAAAAGGAACACATCTGGGCCCTGTCTTATAAACAGTTGCGATTAATCGCATCTCATTTGCGATCGATACCAATCGCAATTAATATTGGTACATAAGAGATAGGAGACTGTGATTGATTGGAGGACTTACAATTGATTCTGACCAATCCAAACTTTTTATAAGAGGGGGCCCTGGCCTATAGACTTTCCATGCGTTCTGTCTTCTTCTTACTGGAGCAGGCATGCAGCAGAGTCTGAAGAACTACTGCAAAAAAGTACCATGGTAACCATGACTTGTTTGTCCAAATTACCATCCACTATGGTAACCATGGTTATCATGGTGGATGATAATTTGGACTAAAAAACCATGGTTACCATGGTACTTTTTTAATTAATTAGCTCCATACCCTGAACATGTGACAGACGATTATCAATTTTCCAGACACATTCCATATATTGCTAAAAAGCCATAGAAAAAAAACATGTCACATGTTTCGTCCTGATGCCTTTAATATATTCAAGCATGAAGGCCATATCTATTGGTACTCGGGTAGAAAAGCAGGTTAATATGGAAGAACTGAATTGACTAAAATTTAGAATTCTCCATGGCCTGGACTGCTTTACTGCCCTCTCGTGTTGAAAGATATCCATTCACTTTGCCAAAAAATAATCTTCAAACGTACAATCTACGTCGTTACCTACGTAAGCGGTCAAATAGGTGTTGATCTCTTATTAATCTCAAGAAACCCTTGGGTCTATTCTCGGGCGTTAAGAAGGAAATCTTAATACAAATATGTTGTCCACTTTAGAAGGGTTGATGATTTAAGCCACTTACACTCAAACAAACACCTGTCAAAGGCCAAGTTATGTTGCCTTTGTTTGTTTGTTTATCAAGGTCATTATTGATTTAAGTTCTCTAATTTGAAGCTGAAATTAGTTTAGTTGGTAATCAAATTAACCTATGTTTCCATATTTTCATACAATCTTTCCCTTTAAAATATCCATCAATTTGGGAATACATCTTGATTGTTCTGCCCTTAATCTCATCAGTGACTTTATGCTTTCTAACATTACCTCACAAGTAAATTGAAACAAAATGTAAATTGTTATTTATATCTGCTCATAATTATGTAGAAAAGGTAACCGTAACAATTTTTATTCAGGAGCTTAGAAGAAGAAAAAAATTGGTAAAAAGGCTGAGTTTTGGGATAATGGACTATGAATTGAACAAGTTATACCATAATAATTATTGTTCTGTAAGTAATGCACTACAGACGGAAGAAAGCCTAAATGATAGAAACCATTCTCATTAAGTATATGTTCTTGAAACGCCTTATTAAGTAGGATCTGTATGTCCGTGAATGCCGGTGCTAATTGCCTTCCACGCCCGTTTCCTTTCAAATGACACCTACAGTCACGTATGTCACAGAAACCTTGTCTATCTGTTGATTTTGATTTGTATAGTCATTAAAGAATGTACGCAGTATTATTCCCCTTAAAAAAAATGTATACATGTATATTTAACAAAACAATTCACTTTTTTATTTTTTATTAAAAGGTCAACAAACTTTGAACCAGAAGGACATTCAATGGAGACCTTCTTTTGTCTTTTTCCACTCAAAACAGAAGATTCAAATTATTCACAATTTTTCCACATAATAAACTTTCATAAATTTTCACAAATTAAAAAACACTATAGTCATTACAAATACAATCCAAAAAAATATGAAAACACTTTGCCATTTCTTTGCAAAGACTTAACCAGTCTGCCGATTCGTGTCTGAGAAAGATGTCTAAACTCAAGACATCGGAACTGTTACAGGTAAATTTTCCTTTTATATGTGATAAAAGAATTACAAAACATGAAAACACCAAATTAATACAATCATGTTTAAAAAAATCCATTATAATCTGGTTGCGAGCAGACGATCGGTCTCTCCTGAAAGTGGTGCACGGTCGGGAGGGTTCATTGACATTCCATCTGGCCTATCGGAAGACTGTCATCTCTCCGAGCTGCACTCCATTTTCTTAGAAGATGAAAGCCCTAATCCCTCTATTGGGAAGCTAGCGTGCTATAATTAGATTTTGTCTCTTACCGGTTTTACCTCTCCGTCTTTCTCTCTTTACCTCATATCGGTCTCCCTGATTTTAGGATGTGAGGTGGGTAGGTGTACAATATCTTCCATGAACCATGTTTCCCCCTGAAGCGTCGTGCTGCTGAGTAATAAGGCCTGTCCTCATCAGCTCGAGTTTGCAAAATACTGTGACCCGCTATTTTAATTATCCCAATCGTCAAATAACCCGCTATTTTAACTATCCCAATCATAAATCGACCAGTTAATTGCGTCTTCGTCAGCCCGCAGTTGCAATTAGCGGGATGTTTGGTCGAGAAAATATCCCGAGAAATCTTGGTCTTTGTTTCCAAAGTATCGCGCTAGTTGGGAAATGGCAGGCTAATTTGCGCTGATCCAAGCTAGTTTGTGGTGAACGGATCGGTATGGTGAGGCCGCAATTTCGAGCCTCGGATAATATCCCGTGTCTGAAAATAGCGGGTTATTTGGCAAACTCGAGCTGATGAATACGGGACTATACAGCTACCTAGCTTTTGCCTGCTAGCGAAGGTAATATTTTAGGCTATCAGCCAGGAGACTGAGAGGCCTCGGGGCACATTGTGACGTCGTCGTCGAATGCTAAGTATCATGTTCTAACGTTTCGCAATAGAGAGATGTCTATATTAAAGGCAGGCTTTACTACTTCAGCTAGAGATAT